TGACAGCTGTGTCAGTCTCCTGCGGAGTCACTTCTGGATCCTCTGCAATTTTCAGCTGATGGTAATGAACTTCAACTGCCTTCTTGATGGCAGCATCAACCTGGTTCCGTGGACGACAGGTCACGGGCGATGATCTCTGTCTTGCTCAATCTTGATGTCGTGCGCACATCCTCTCAATGAGGGTCCGTCCGGATGGGTCCTTGCCTCGAGCCCCACGTCTGGGTGCCACTTGACCCGACCGGCGGGTCCTGGTTATTCGTGGGGGCGAGGAGGACTGCAACCTGCTATTCTTCAGAAGATATGGTACACTGCTTGAGTTATGGTCTTCCTGCTATTCTTCAGATGATATGGTACACTGCTTTGAGTCTATCTGCAGTTGCCAAGCAGGATCTTGCAGTTGCCAAGCTTCAGGGGACCTTGTGCAGGTGGGAAAAGGTAGGGGGTGAGGGTAAGGGCGAGGCTCCTGGCTTCTGGTCCATCTGGGTTAGAACTTCTAATAGCAGGCATCACGGGTGATTCAATTTTACCTGGGATGCTGCGTGAGTTCAAGCTCCTGGGAGTCCCTGTTTTTCTTGGTTTTCTGCGGTTGGGTACGGAGCTGCTGCCTGCGACCTGCTCTAGGCTCGGTCCCAAACCGGAAGTCGACTTCCATGTATTTCTATGGTGAGTGTTAGGTATAAGTCCTTTCTAGCCATTCAACATAATGATATGTGTTCTTACCTAGTTCAGATTTTGAAATCTAGTCTGTAATGAATTTATGAAGGCAACATGAATTTATTACTTCTTTGAAAATGTCATATCAGCTGCAAGAATTTTGTATTATGAGAAATAATGCAAATAATAATTAAAATTCAGTTTTCCCAATTATACATACATGCATATATATATATATACAAATTGGCATTTATTGTTATTGCTTTTATTATTTTTATTTTCTACTAAATACTGCAGCTCTTGATCTTCCTGACAATCAAACACCCTGATTGTCCCCAAGTAAATACAGCACTTTAGTCAATGTTATGGTTTAGATATGAGGATCTCACACCCCATACACATATGTTGAAGGCTTTCTCCTCAATTGATGGGCAGGTAATTGGATCAAGAGGGTTCAAGAGATCTCTTACCTAATAGGTGGGTTTGTGCACTGGATGGATTCAGAAACTGATAATATTATTGCGAAGTGATGGAAACTTTTCAAGGAAGTAAATCGCTGGGGCATGCTTGGGAGCTTATATCTTTTCCTTTTAGTCTTCCTTCCTTCCTTCCTTCCTTCCTTCCTTCCTTCCTTCCTTCCTTCCCCTTCTCTTCTCTTTCTGTCATCCCCCATCTCTCAACAGACCACCTGCCAGTATACTTTCTTTGCTTAATCCAAGGCCCAGAAATAACAGAAGGAAATTACTAACACTATAAACCAAAATAAATCTTTCCTCCTTTTAAGTGTTTCAGGCACTCATCAGAGCAACAAAATTTGACTCTACAGTCAATGTAGATTTTGTGTTAATAAATTTTATTTAACTGAGTTCACAAAGGTGTTTTATTCCTCTGTCATAATATTTAAGAGGTCAATGGCCAGCTCATTCAGTACACACGAAATTAACATTGTAAGAAGACTACAGAAGTGTTTTCAAGTGTGTGTTAATTGTTTTCACCCCCATTAGCAGAGTATAAAAATTTCAGAATTAAGAATTTTGCCAGTGTTTCAAACTATTGGCTATTCTCTCAGAATGCAATAGTATTTAATTGATAATCATTTTAAAATTTTTTTCTTTCCTTAATGATTAATTATGTGTGAAATGTAAATAAAATATGCTGTCTTTTCTACTCTAGGGTTAAGTAAGACAAAACTTCATTTTAAAAAATGATTTCAAAAAAGCCATTTGGCAGAAATTTAGATTCCCCCAGGGTCAGCACTTTTTGAAATCAAAATATGTGCTCAAGGTTGCATAGTGTTCTCAAAAGTTGCTCTTTGCTTATCAGCTGCACTGAGCCAGCTGTGTGGGAGTGTAAGGCCAGAGAGCTGATCACTCAGAGAGAGGCACAGGATCCCTTTGCATTAGAAATAAAAGCCCAGGGGGACCCTGCTGGGTGTGCTTACCAACTGGATTTGGTATGGCTATTATGCTTCTGCAGAAGTGAAACTACTGCCAAACCAAATACTTTGGAATGTGTGGCCATTTTCTTGGGAATCCCAGACCTTTTTCTAACACCAATGTTGAGTATCTTTTCATCAACTTGACTTTAATCTCCTGTCATTGCTTGTCTATTTATTTTCATTCTGTTCTCCCTTTATAGATGAATATATTTCATTTTGATCAAATTCATCTCTCATTTCCTCCTCCTTTATCTCTTCCTAGGTCCCTCTCATCACATACTTTTCCAAACTTCAAACACACACACACACACACACACACACACACACACATATATATATATAATGGTCTAATTAGTGTTGCACACATTGTGGATGTAGGGCTGTCCACTGTAGCATGGGGAAACTGCTAGGGGCACCACCCATGAAGAAAACTGATTTCTTTCCCTCTATGCCAGTCAGCAAGCTTCTCAACTAGGAGTGAGGCTTTGTGAACCCCTCCCCACCCATACTGTAACATTGACTAGCTTGACCTTGTGCAGTTTTGTATTTATTATTGTCATTGTCATCATTGTCATCGTTGTCGTCATCATCATCATTGTTTTTAGGACAGGATTTCTCTGCGTAGCCCTGGCTATCCTGGAACTCATTCTGTAGACCAGGCTGGTCTTGAACTCACAGAGATCCGCCTGCCTCTGCCTCCTGAATGCTGGGATTAAAGGCATATACCACCAGTGCCTGGCTATATATTTAATTCTTAACTATTTAGTGAAATGTCTGGGTTTTCATATTTAGTTTTGTGACAATTTATACTCTAATTATTAGCCCTCTTAGACAGTATGGTTTTGAAATATTTTCTCTCAGAAACTTGTCTTTATATTATCTTAGTAGAGTTTTGAAATAGCTATTTTTTTTTAGTTTATAAAAAAAGTACAGTTTAGTGATTTCTTGCTTGGAAATTGTGATTTTAGTGTCTAACCAAAAGAGTAGAAGGTTAGTCTTGCATATTTTCTGATAAAAATGTTATAGTTCAAGGTCTCCATTTAGATATATAGCCCCTTCGGATTCACCCTTTGAATGTAGTCCAATAGATACATCGCACTTTATATTTGCTAATATTGGTACATTGACTGAGCACTATATCTTGAGAAGACTGTCTTTTCCCCTAAATTATCTTTGGATATTTTAATAACAACAAAAAGAGTCACTGCAATTCCAGTAAAAATCCAAACATTTTTACAAAGAACATAACACACTGATTCTCACATACAGTGAAAACTCAAAAGACATAAATCTTTGAAAGCAATGTAACTGGATAATAAGCAACACCCGATTTCAAGATTTCTGATAATCAAGAAAGTGTTCTATTGACATCAAGCTGAGAAGCTAAATCAAAGGAACTAAACGAAATAGATCCATAGCTACATTAGTGACTATTTTTTTTAAAGATCCAAAGGTAATTCAGTGGGAAAAGAGTCTTCCCAAGAAATATTGCTCATTCAATTGTGCACTCAGCTTCTTAGTACCCTGTTATCTCCAGTGGATTGAGGGACTGGGCTACTTTGAGTAATTACTACAGTAAAGATCACCCAATTATCTAAAAACTCTGCGTGGCTGACATTAAATTAGTGGTACTCAAATGTTACCTGTTTAGGCCTGGGATCTTCCAAATAAAAAGCTTTCATCGAAATTATCATGGAATCGTGATAATGAAATTATCAGGGAATGAATTAAACTGGAAGATATTTGTGCCCCCCCCATTACTAAATCAAAACATGAAGTAGGAAGGCTGTATGTTTTCAATAGTTTCTCCAATTAATTCTGATACCCATCTAGGTTTGAAAAGCAATGTGGGTTTCTACAAGCTTTTCAGATATTTTGAATGTTTGCCCAAGTGATTTTTATGGCTACTTGCTTGTAAGTATCTGTTTCTTTTGTCTATTCTGATGTGTCAAATACTACTTCCTTAATTAAGTAATATTTATTCAGATTTGTATACAAGCCTCTGATTTAAGCACTGGGGAAAAGCATACAGGACAGGAAAGACAGGGTCACTAACCTGTCATTAAAGATTGAGAAGCTGGGACTAAGAAGACAAATCAATTGGAAAGGCAATTTGGTAGCCATTTACGATTAAGAGAATAATTAGAGTAGGTAGAATAAGAATCAAGGGTCAGGGATCATTACACAGGAAATTGTCCTGAAAGCCTTTCCTGGAAGTGGCTTTAGAACTGAGTCCTGAAGGATAAGAAGCCGCACACAGACAGGCCATGTCTTGGTGTGCTTGTACTGTGTGTGGGCCAGTTAACCCGGGAGCAGAGGACAGGCAGCCCAGTGGCTGGAGCCTGGCAGACAACAAGCAGGCTGGTAGGGGGTGAGGTGGAAAGGGCAGATGCAGCACAGTCTGGGCCACCTCTGACACTAAGACTGTATGGTGAGGATGGAGGATCCCAGCAAGGAGGTGACATGACCTGTAGGGGATGGCTGGTCTCTGTGCAGAGAATGGTCCACAGAGAGGCAGGATTAGCTAGTGTGGAGGCAAATACAGCCATCAGCAGCAGCCTGTTGCAGAAGGCCAGGGGAGGGGTTAGGATGTATGGAAGCCATGATGCAGCAGTGTGCAGAGGGAGAGGGTGCCCTGGACAGGGCTTTGTGTGGGGGCGTGGGGGCTGTGGTAGCAGGGACCTCCAGTGACTGTGCCTGGGTGTGAGGGTGAGACAGTGAGACAGTCCAAGGCACCCCTGGGCTAATTCAGCCCCACTACTGCTTTCTGTCAGATGCTCCGAGTGCCTTAGGCTATCAGCAGACAGTGGTTGTAGGGTTAACTAGCGACTTGGTGCGGGCGAGGGGAGGGGGGAGACATCGTGGGCGGTGCGCGCTCCAGGGCCGCGTGCGCGCGCCCAGCATTCCGCGTGAGCCAGAGGAAGGCAGAGGGACCGCGGAGCACACAGCACGCCCGTGCCGAGCCAGCGAGCGAGCGAGCGCCCGTGGAGCCCGCGTGGAGGGAGCCGCCGCAGATTGACCTGCAAGATGAACACCCTGCTGTCCCGGGCCAACTCGCTGTTCGCCTTCACGCTGAGCGTCATGGCGGCGCTCACCTTGGGCTGCATCCTCACCACCGCCTTCAAAGACAGGAGCGCGCCCGTGCGCCTGCAAGTCTCCAGGATCCTGCTCAAGAAAGTGGAAGACTTCACTGGACCCAGAAAAAAGAGCGACCTGGGCTTCATCACCTTCCACATCTCTGCGGACCTGGAGAAGACTTTCGACTGGAACGTCAAGCAGCTCTTCCTTTATCTGTCGGCAGAATATTCCACCAAAAGCAACGCTGTGAACCAGGTGGTCCTCTGGGACAAGATCCTTCTGCGAGGCGAGAACCCCAAGCTCAACCTGAAAGACGTCAAAAGCAAGTATTTTTTCTTTGACGATGGACATGGTCTCAAGGGAAACAGGAACGTCACTTTGACTCTCTCCTGGCAAGTTATACCGATTGCTGGGATCCTGCCTCTTGTGACTGGATCTGGACGCGTGTCTGTCCCATTTCCAGATTCCTATGAAATAGCCACGACTTTTTGAAGAATTCTCTCTGCATCGGAAAGGGGACATCTGTGTACCTAAAGAATCGTGTTTCTTTCATTTTTTCCCTTAAGTCTTGCTGACTTCTCTTTTGTTTTGTTCTGGGACTGGCTGAACTCATCCTCATGCTTCATGTGTCTAACATAGAGACTGCATTCATTGATCTTAGTGTCACATTGGCTGTTACTCGTCTTTGTATACGAATTAACATCAAATTGTGTAGTTGGAGGGAAAGTCTAATAGAGTTCTGGAACTTTATTCTACAAACGAAACAAGAAAAGAAGTTCAGCAGAGTAGGTTATTAGGCAGTTGGATAATGAGGATTGAAAATAATACACAGTTTTTTCATATTCACTATGTTATTCCATGTGATAGATAAAGTTTGTTTGGGGAGAATTTAAAAATTAGATGTGTTGGTATTGTCATAATTGTATTCTAATCCTGACATTCCTTTTGAGTTCACAGAATGCCATTTTCTTATATCTTCTAGGGTGTGTTTGATTACCAGAAAAATTGTATTTTGTTTCTTTAAAATCTGACAAGCAAAATAGTTAAACACGAGTCAGAATGAGAATTTACTCCCATTTCAGAAGTCTTACTGCTTGCCTTTCTTGTCAGCAAATGTGACCATTTACATAGTGAATGTCTCTTGAGGCTGTAAATGATTAAACCTCACTTCAAGGCTCTTAAGTAAATCAAATGTGTGTCTTACAGTGGTTTCTCTACAAAGATTGCTGTGCAGTGTATCTTTGTTAAATGTTCTAGCACTGTTACTGAAGTTTGAAAATGTTTGCATGCTTAATATATGAGACGCGTATGTTCTAGTATGTTTAATGCCGTTAAATAAATGCTAACTGCTTAAACCGCTTTTAGGTCCATTATTTAATCATTATTGGGATGTTGATAATAGCACTTGTGGTATGATTTTTTCACTTACAAACATTCGTAGGTGTTTTCCTCTATAACCTAAAAAGTAAGCAGTGCATGCACTAGCTCTCTTCAAATAAAGAAATGGAAATTCAGAAGTTTTGTTACATCAAGCAAACAAGAGAGTTTAAACTGGAAATACAATTTGATTCTTTTTCGTTAAATGTTTTTATTATATGAGATTATAGTATAATTTCATTATTTTTCTCTTCCTTTACCTTCTTCCAAACCGTCTCATATAGGCTCATTGTTCTTTCAAATTCATGGTGTGTGTGTGTGTGTGTGTGTGTGTGTATGTTATATGTGTATGTGAATATATATATATATAAAACCTGCTCATATATAAGTTCAGGGTTGACCATTTGGTATTGAATGATCCATTGCTGTGTTCTTCCCCAGGGTATTTTCCTCACTCTGTGTTCCTTGGTTGTCTGCAGCTGTTTGTCTAGGGTTGAGACCTTTTGAACTCCCACCACCATCATCATCCACAAATGGATGTTGTCAGACAGCACTGGGCTCCACAACTCTGCTTTTTCTTCAGCTGCTATTAAGGTGTAAAAAAAAAAAAAGAAACTAAAATAATAAATTTACAGGTAAATGGATGAAACTAGAAAAGATTATATTTAGTGTTTCTCTCATCTGACATTCCTACCCCCAAATCATCAGATGTGAATATATAACCTGGTGTAACTACAGAAACCGGGAAAGTAAAAGGAGACCATTGCCAGCGTGGGGGATGGGGGAGCAATAGATGGGAGATTGCCAGAATGTAAGTGATCTGAAGGAGGAAGTGGGAAAATGGATCTTATTAGGGAGGTGGGGGGAGGATAAATAATAGAAGGAGAGAAAGGGGTAAAATAACAGGATGTTTGAAAATTATAAGGAATCATATTGTGAACTATCTACCTAAAATACACACAATACAACCAGGTCTGTGTAGGAATATACACATATAGTTTAAATAAAAATTTCACATCTGAGATGACAATATTCCCCACCACCCCTGCCCAGGAGCCATAGACTACTTAACAAAAACTCTAAATCAGGCATGAAAATTCTTCCTTTGAGTTATTAATTAAGATTGTCCAAAAGTCCCCCCAAAAAACATTCTAGGTTATTGCTGTTGCCTTTGGTTGCCCCACCACCAAGTGATAGAAGGTAACCCTCTATTGCTGAAATCACTATGCATTTCAGGCACAGGACCCAGAGAGCACAATTTGAATCAAACCTGAAAACTTCCTCCTTGGGAACGAGCTTCATAGTACCTGAAGGCAACATGAAAGCTTTGAAAGGAGAGAAGTGACCAATAGTCCTACTGTGCTATAACACCCATGAATCACAAAAGCCAGTATGGTACAATAACCTTAAGGGTGCAGTAATGCCACATATACCTTAGCAGTACCAAGCCACATATACAAAGACATACTCAATGTGAGAGAAATCATGTCTGATACTGGGAATTTAATCATCTACCTAGTACTAGTTATTGCACGAGTCTTAGAGGAGAACCTACAACCACTTTACTAAACCAGCATTCTAAGTATTTGTCTTTATACCCACATATAAGTGTAATCTTCGCCCTTTTTCTTAGGATTTGTAGTGCTCCGATAAAATACCATGACCAAATTCAACTTCTGTTTCTTTTGTGTCTCAGACAGTACGGTGATCGAATTTCACCTAAAGATTTCTTTTTCCCCTTCTCTGGAAATTCTTTTATTATTTATGAAAAGGGGTCTCCTACCTTGTGTGATAAGACTAATTTTGATTATGCTAACAAAACGAGTGCACTTTATTCTCTCCATAAAATATTCACTTGATTCATAATATAAAGAAATTGGAATGTTTATAAAATACCTTATTGACTAAACATACACAATGACATTTAAAGTGGCCTTTTCCAATGAGGGAAAATAAACAGTCAAGACAGTAACTGCTATTCAATTGCTCTTAAGACCAAAGAATCCAGTTACACTACACTGATAACAGAAAGGGCTATTTTGTTCCCTAAGAACAGTTTAAACTAATGTGTAACATTTCTTGTAGTCACGTCATTTAAATATAGCAATCAGTTCACTTAAACAGCTGTGCATGTAGTTATGTGGTTCATGGATATGCATTTGAGAACCAGTATTTCCCAGCAGATGAAACTTCAAAGGTGGAATGTCATGCATTCCAATATTAGCTCCAGAGTTTCCCCTTAGTTTGTATGGGATCTCCATTTCTCCATCTGGGAAATGGCATGAGATGAAATAACTACTTGCATGGTGATAATTTTTCTATCATATACACATATAATAATTTTTTATCTTTTCAGCATATCAGAACAGAAATATACAATAGTTATGTGAAGACAGAAAGATAGAATGCTTGAGCACATACTTCATATTTATCTGACTTTGTTTTATAGTCAGAAACTCTAACTTCATATAATTTCTAAAGATGCTGAGCGTAAAAACTGCAGATGTCCAAACCTAAAAAAACCTGGCCCCATTGTCATTAAGGAAGACATTCATAGCAAAGCCTTACCTAGGCCTGGAGACCACTATCCCAGCTCACTATGAATAGTGGTGAGTGGTGAGTGGATCTGTTAGTTTGAGAGATGAATGTTGTAGTTTTCTTGAGTTGTAATTATCTGAAAAATATATTTTTTAGAAATTTGCTATGAAATAGAAGTATAAAGATCCAAGAAGTATACTGTGGATAGACGTTGTGATTTCAAACCCTAGAACTGAAGAAAAGAATAACTTGAGGCCTGGGCATGTAGTTAAATGGTAGAGAACCTGACTAGCCATATCCAAGGCCCTGGGTATAATTCCCTGTATCTATCTGGAACTTGGGTTCACTTTAATAAATATATCCTATTTGGTGTTCTTTATTTTTAATGGCTTATTTTTATTTTTTTATGTGCACTGGTGTTTTGCCCATGTGTATATCTGTATGAGGGTGTCAGATCCCCTGGAACTGAAGCTATACAGTTGTGAGCTGCCATATAGGTGGTGGGACTTGAATCCAGGTCCTCTGGAAGAGCAGCCAGTGCTCTTAACTTCTGAGCCATCTCTTCAGTCTTACCCCCCCCCTTTCAGTTTAAAAAGCTGTTTTCCATTAGTCATCAAAGTTTTAAGTCTCCACAAAGACACGAGGATTTTTGGAAACCAAAAGTATAACTGGATATGTCAGAACCCAGAACTTATTCTCAAAAAGTAATTGACACATAGTTGTTTGTACTAGTTCAAATTTTATTTTATTTTTTTGAAACCAGAACATTTATTTTATGAATGCTTGAAATCCTCAAGATGAACTGGATGCTGCAACAGCTGCCCTCTTGGGTTTAGGTGTCGTTCCTTCACGGAATCCATGTCTGAATCTGCGATAGACAATCTTTAGGTGCCTCATCCGACCAGTCCCGGTAGTGTTTCGTCTCTTAGCCTTGGCACTCCAGTTATACTTTCTCTTGCGCTTGGCAGGGTAGCTGCATTTGCCACAAGTCGACTTCTGAAGGTGGTAGGCCTTGAAGCCACAGCAGCACAGCATGTGCGTCTTATTGCGACACTTTCCGAAGGATGACGTTCCTTTCGTCATCTTGCTTCTACCTGCGAGGCCAAAGAGACCGGAAAAGAAAGCGCTTCCACCACTTCCTGTGGATAAGCTTCCGCCTAGTTCACATTTTAAATTAATTCCTTTAAAACTACAGTGCTCTCATGTCTTTTTCCCCTCTAGCACTTAAATATAAACAAAAGACAGATAGCTGTACAAGGAGACTTGGTAGTACTATGTTATGATTTTAGCTATAATCTGTGAATGATTTTGCATCAATTTCTGAAAACTTCTTCAATTCCTCCATGAGGGGATTTCTATTTTTTTTTACTGGACATTTTTTATTGGATATTTTATTTACATTTCAGATGTTATCCCCTTACCCCATTCCCCACCCCCAGCCCAGGAACACCCTATCCCATCGCCCCTCCTTCTGCTTCTCTGAGAATGTGCCCCTATCTACCCACCCATTCCCACCTCCCCACCTTCAAATTCCCCCCCACACAGCGTCCAGCCTTCACTGGACCAAGGACTTCTTCTCCCACCTATGCCCAGCAAGGCCCTCCACCCTTACATATACAGCTGAAGCCCTGGATCCCTCCCGAAGTGCTCCCAGGATGGTGGTTTAGACCCTGGGAGCTCTGGTTGGTTGGTATTGTTGCTCTCCTCATGGGGCCGCAAACCCTTTCAACTCCTTCAGTCTTCACTCTAACTCCTCCATTGGGAACCCCTTGATCAGTTCAATGGTTAGCTGTGAGGCTCTGCCTCTGAATATGTCAGACTCTTGCAAACCTTTAAGGAGACAGCTATATCAGGTTCTTATCAGCATGCACTTCCTGACATCCACATCAGCATGTACCTTTGGTGACTGCACATGGGGTGGATACTCAGGTGGAATGGTCTCCAGACAGCCCCTCCTTCAGTTTCTGTCCCTCACTTTGTCTCCATATTTGTTCCCTTGAGTATTTTGTTCCCCCTTCTAAGAAGGACCAAAGAACCCACACTTGGTCTTCCTTCTTCATGAGCTTCATGTGATCTGTGAGTTGTATCCTGGATATTGGGAGCTTTTCGGCTAATATCCAATAATCAGTGTGTGGGACTGCATAAGGGTATCCTGGGTCATGGTTGAGCAGGCGCTTAGAACCCCGAGATTCTCCGTGGAATTCTGCGTGAGAACCGGCAGGAGTTCAGTCCCTCCCATCATCTAGGATCCTGAAAAACAGTCACACCTCCATAGAGTCACATAGGCCAGGCTATAGGCCTCAGGCTCTAGAGATTTACATACTAATGAAGACCAGAGGGCAGAGCAAATTAAACATTCCTCCCCCAGATCCTCTCCCAATCCTCCCCCTTTCTCCCTCCCTATATAACTCGGGACTGCCCTGAGTTTTTGGGGGGTACG